CCTGAATGTAGGCATTCTCACCCACCCACCCCCAAAACAATATCCCCTAAACATACCCATCCTCAACCCCCATATACCTCCTCCCACAACCCCTACCATACTCTCCTCACCATCTACTCTACTCAATCTAACTTACTCTACTCTCCACATTCCTTATTCCCCCCTTCAACTCCCCACACCCAATATTTCTTATAAATACCTCCTTATCATATTCCCCCATTATGTTCCCCCCCCCCCCCCCCCATAAATATTTTTACACCCAGTGTGGTGTGTTTGCCGTGCCCCCTGCCGCGCCCCCCCCTTGGGGGTGTGTGCCCCCCCCCCCCCCCCCGCCCCCCCCCGCCCCCCCCCCCCCCCCCCCCCCCAGGTGCTGTTTTTATCAGCTACAGTACTTTAACACTCTCTTAATCAGGAGGTCGCAGGTCGCTGGAGGACTGGAGGGCCCTGGATTTGGAGGCTCCATTCTCCATATAAGGAGCCCTGCGTTTGGACAGCTGCTCCCCCTGAATGCACAGACACTACAGCAGCTGCCCCAGCAATTGTCTCCACCTCAGAACTGTTGTGTGTCAGTTACATATATGGTCCACTCGCCTCCCAGGAACTGAGCCTTCTCCAGCTCAGTCCATCATCCAAGCAAGCCCTGTGTACGCAACTTCAAGAAAAAGGATTTATGTGATGAAATACTCTCCTCCAGTTCCTCAAGATTGTTTGTTTCTATCACTCATTTTTACATTCATGATTTTTTGGAGAGAGATCAGAGAAAGAGAGAGATTCTACCAGTGAGAGACCAGTAGAGAGGGACCAGAGAGATACTCGAGAGACCAGAGAGACTAGAGAGAGACCAGAGAGAAAGAGAGATAAAGAGAGAGACCAGAGAGCAAAACCTGGGAGGGACCAGAGATAGAGATCAGATAGAGAAAAAGCAGAGAGACCAAGGAGGGACCAGACAGAGAGAGACCAGACAGAAACCAGCGAGAGACCAGAGAGATACCAGATAGAGACTTGAGAGATACTAGAGAGACCAGCGAGGGACCAGAGAGACTAGAGAGACCAGTTAGAGATAGAGATGAGAGACCAGAAAGAAACCAGAGAGAGACCAAGAGGGACCAGAGAGAGACTAGATAGAGACCAGAGAGATAGAGATGAGACCAGAGAGAAAAAAACAGAGAGAGACCACAGAAAGAGACCAGATAAAGAAAGACCAGAGAGAAACCAAGGAGAGACCAGAGAGAGACTAGAGAGACCAGATAGAGAACCAGAGAGAGACCAGAGAGAAAAGACCAGAGAGGGACCAGAGATGGAGACCAGATAGAGACCAAGAGGACCAGAGAGAGACCAAGAAGAGGGACCAGAGAGAGACCTAGAGAGACCAGATAGAGAGGAGAGACCAGAGAGAAATACAGAGAGGGATCCACAGAAAGAGACCAGAATAAAGAAAAACCAGAGAGAGACCAAGAGAGAGACCAGAGAGAGACTAGAGAGAGACCAGAGAGAGAAGAGAGATAAAGAGAGAGACCAGAGCAAAGACCTGGGAGGGACCAGAGAGAGGAGACCAGAGAGAGACCAGAGAGAGACCAGAGAGAGACCAGAGAGAGACCAGAGAGAGACCAGCGAGATACCAGATAGAGACTTGAGAGATACTAGAGAGACCAGCGAGGGACCAGAGAGACCAGCGAGGGACCAGAGAGAGAGACCAGATAGAGACCAGAGATGAGAGACCAGATAAAGAAAAACCAGAGAGAGACCAAGGAGGGACCAGAGAGACTAGAGAGACCAGATAGAGATGAGAGACCAGAGAGAAAAAACAGAGAGGGACCACAGAAAGAGACCAGATAAAGAAAAACCAGAGAGAGACCAAGGAGGGACCAGAGAGACTAGAGAAAGAGAGACCAAATAGAGACCAGAGAGAGAGACCAGAGAGATACTAGAAAGACCAGAAAGCAAAACCAGAGAGGGACCAAAGAGAGAAACCACTAATATTCAAAAGCATGTATTTTTGGCCTCTATAAAATCTTTGTAGCAGCTTTTTCAGACATAAAAGTAAAAAAGAGAAGACCATCCTCACAGTCAAAAAGTGACTCTTACACAAAATCAAAATTCTGTTCAGATGAAACTTTTGTTTGTTCACAAAATTTTACATTTACCTTTTTGTTGGATCAAACAACATGCGTTATTATTCATGAAAAATGATAATAATAATTAACAATATGAATGGTTTGGTTGAGCCTCTTTCGTTCTGATCCTGATGAACGAAAGTGGTATCATGTTTTAATACCACTTTTTACACTAACTGTTGACAGCATGTGTGTTGAGGCTTGTCTTTCAATAAGTGCAGATTTATATCTGCTGTTTAACACAGTGAAAGTATTTTAGACAAAAGGATTACTTTCAATTAACCCATATTTGGAAAAAAATTGAATTGATTTATTTTAAAAACTAGTTAAATTACCAAAACTATGTCAAAGTTAAAGTATTGGCCAATAATATGCTATTTTAAATCAACACATTTTAATAACTTGTTGGGTTCCAACCTTAGTATAGAATAAATTATAATGAAGTTTTCTTAAGAAAAATAGTTTGAAAATGAGGTATTACTGGCCATGTTAGCTCCTAATAACCTACATCAATGCTGCAAGTTAATAGTAATAATAGATAACAATTTCAGGGGCCACTGAAATGGTCTGAAGGCTGCGTTTGGCCCGCGGGCCTCGTGCTGGAGACCGGTGCCTCATATGATGTGTTACAATCCTGCTAGAAACAGCCTCAGGCATAAAGCTGGTGGCATGTCATTCTCAAGTCATCACCTAAGTCAACAAACCATTAATATAACTGAAGATGCCTCTCTTGACCTTGTGAACCACCATCTATATTTCTCCATTTTTGTTTGAATCCAAACTATAGTACATTATGGCTTTATCAAATCAGCCTCACATGCTGTACTGGGGTCAAATGCAGTGGTTCTTAACCTTTTTGGAGGTACCGAACCTCACCAGTTTCAAGCGCATTCGCCGAACTCCTTTTGAGTAAAAAAATGAAAAAAAAAAAATCAGGATATAGATATGTTTTTTACTGGTGCAAAATGAGCCGTACATGAACCTTGTTCAAAGAACAAAACCAACACAATGTATGAACTCACAAAAAATGACATACCTGCAAATCAGTGTGACTTCTGCTGTTGCCTTTAAGAGGTCAATGCAGTGAGTGGGAGTTGTCGTTGTCACACTCGGCCGCTAGGTGGAGACAACGCGCCGTTCCGTCGCTGCGTGCCATTGGCTGAGCGCGAATTTTAAACGAGTCCCGTCCATGGTCCCCGTACTACACAGGCGATAAAGTTTGCCTGATATCTCTTCTGTTGCACCGGACACACAAACACACACAAACACACACACGGGGCACTGGTTCTGTGTGTGTTTTACAGGGATGGACGTCGCTGCATATTTACAGTATGTACACTTTTGTCTTCTCTGTTGTTAAAGTTAGCGGTTAGCATTAGCAACAGCTAGCATTAACGTCAACCATAAACAACACGGCTTCTCACGTTTTTATTATTGTGTTTGTTTCGAAGGCGCTTTGAGAGCAGTATAAGCACGTACGTGGGGGATGACCCATTGGAGCAGTGGGACAAGTAAGAACTTCACCTCATAAGCTGTATTAAAATGACAATGAGCGTTACCAATTCAGTCCAAATGCATCCATCCCTTCCCATGTTTTGTTGTTGTTATTATTATATTATATGTGATACTGTTATGTGATGTTTTCCTTTAGGTCAGCACAAACACAAACGGACATTGTGTAAACGCCATGTTTGGAAATATTCAACACTTTCACAATTCCTCATGACAATTTAAAATAAGGGGCTGGTGCTATGTGTACTGGGTGCAGCTCTGACCGCTCTCACTGTGTGTGTTTCCTGCTGCAGGTTTGTTAAGCTTCTGGAGCAAAACTTGCCCCCAAACAGCAGCAGCCAGCTGTCTGTGGTGCTGAGCCGTTTAGTCGAGACGTTTCTGAACGTAAACAAATACGCCAACGATGACCGATATGTCAACTACTGCATACAATTTGTAAGTCAATAACATTTCTATTATTGAGCCATGTCATTAAAGTTGGGGTTTCTAACTTTCACACCACAACGATTTTGCAGTGTAATAATCTAACTAGTTATTAGCACGCAAAACAGTTTTTCTTCTCCTCTAGTTTTCACGTGTACCTTTGTCCTGATCACAAAATGACAGGTCCATATTGTGAAAAAGGAGCTGTCATTTTGTGACTTATTCATATGATGTAGATGGTTTCTGTGATTTTGTGTCCTGTGATTTATTTAAAAATGTCTTAATTCCTTGGTGATGTCTTCCAGGCCAGCGCTTACACTGACCCCATTGTGATGTACAGTCACCTCTTCAATAAAGGAGTGGGCACTCGTTGTGCTGCTCTGTATTCCTCCTGGGCTCAGCAGTTGGAGCAGAGAGGTCTGAATGATCAGGCTGAGGCCCTTTACCAGAAGGCTCATGAGAACAAAGCCCAGCCAGCGGATTTACTGATGGATGAATACAGGTGAAATAACTACTTTATTGAAATATAAATGATTATTTGTTGAGGGACGAGTCTCGTGACAACTTAATTGGCCGATGATGCAGTACTGCAATAATATTCTGCTGGAGTTTAACACATGGTTCTCTGCTGTGGGCAGTGGAGAACATCGGCATCAGATGTGTTTTCAAAAATACAAATCTGTTGGTTCAAATGCATGTGAATTAATAGTGTGGTTTTTCTGTAGGCAATTTCAATCCAGAACAAGGCTTCATGTAGCAGCATCAGGTTTGTGCAGATACTGTTTACTGTAACAGGAACTGCTAATCAGTCACTGATAATTCACTAGTAACTTTGTCACTTGTCACTTTACCTGTTATCAGTACTGCTGCATTATTGCATATCTGATATTTCTGCCTTTCACCAGTCACTTTACCTGTTGATATTTTACTGTATTATTCATGTCCATCTGATAATTCTCCCATTCAAGTCACTTTACCTGTTGATATTATTTCTGATGTTTATTCTGCTCATATTCATATTCTCCGCGGCTAATGTATAATATAGACATCTGTAAATACTTCCGAACCAAGTGCAATTATAGCCCAGAGTTTCTCATTTTATTCTTATCTTAATTACCTTAAATAATAGACTATTTGATGTATGCAATCTGAGTGCTCTTATTTCCTCTCTCTGCTGTAATGTGCGCAACGATGACACTGAAATTTCTCCACTGTGAGACTAATAAAGGTTTATCTTATCTTATCTTATTGTATTTACTTCATTCATAGACCAAAAGCGTAGCTCTTGGGTTTCCTATTACACCACCATTGTTTCATATTTGCTCTGGAGGTTGCTTCACTTCATACACATTTGGATTGATTGTATGTATTTTTTTTTCTGCAGCAGGAAACCGTTCTCCGTTGCAAAACTCTCTTTCTGTCAATGTGATGTCGAGTCAGAGTGCGCTCTCTGCTATAAAGGTTTGTCTCGGTAGCATCACTGTGGGAGGAAGACTTTATGTGTCTGACTCTTGTGCTTTTCAACAGGAGACGACAGCAGCGGAGTGCTCCTCGCCCAAACCAGTGGAGCGTAGATATGTTGTCATGTAAGCACGTCTTATTTACAACTTATTGTCTGTCTGTGGGATGACAGAGAGCTTCCTCTCGAGCTTCCACTGGAGTAGTTTTTTGTTGTGGCTTATGTGAAACAGTGTGATTTGTTATTGCTGAAGTCCATCTCTTTGCCAGGATCTCCCGTTCTGAATACTCGGGGAAACTCCCTCCAAGCACTAATGAAAACATGGTATCTACCTATGACAAGGAGGCGCTGCATTGTGAGGGCTCTGAGCTGTGCTTTGAGGAGGTGCGTGCTCAGAGGTATTTCCAGAAGCAACTACAGCAGCTGCAACAACAGCAGCAGCTACAACAACAGCAGCAGCTACAACAACAGCAGCAGCTACAACAACAGCAGCAGCAGCTACAACAACAGCAGCAGCTACAACAACAGCAGCAGCTACAACAACAGCAGCAGCTACAACAACAGCAACAGCTACAACAACAGCAACAGCTACAACAACAGCAACAGCTACAACAACAGCAACAGCTACAACAACAACAACAGCAGCAACAGCTACAACAACAACAACAGCAGATACAGCTACAACAACAGCAGCAGATACAGCAGCAACAGCTACAACAACAACAGCAGAATCTTCAAAAACAACAGCAGATGCAGCAACAGCAGCAGAAGCTACAGGCTGAAGCCGAAGCGGTTGCTCTGCATGTCCCTGGTATGTGTTTCAAAGACCGTCTCAGGATCAGCTTCAATGGGTTTCTTAAAGTGGTACATACCTTTCTTTTTAATTGCAATGAAAAGGGCATTAAATGTCAGTGTTACCCAACCGTTTTGAGCCTTGGCTGATGTAGAAAATCAAATAAGCACAAAATCTGTCGAATCTTCCCAAATGATTGGTAAAAATAATCTGAAAAAACAATCAAATTATATTACTAACGTGCCACTGTCCACCGGTTGAAAAACACTGCTATAGGCTCCTACCCCGTTCCATTAATTGTAAATTCTTCAAGTATCTTGAACTGTGGAAATTCCTTGGTTAGCAAGGCTTCCAGCAGCACTGTACAGATTTATTTTGTTTAATGCGTTAAATTCTCAAATACCTTCACTTTGTTGCAGCTTTTAAAGATGAGGAAACTTCGACTATTCCAAACCTCTGGATGCAGATCATGCATATGAATATGAGCTTGGCACGCGGTACTGGACACGTGAGTATAAAACCAGATTATGTGGAAGTTGCGTTACCCAAGTTAAAGTGGATCTTCTCTTTTTGTAGACACAATAGCCATATTTGTGGAATGTTGTGGCTAAAATCTGAAATATATTTCAGGACAAGAGTGCTTCTCTTCTGCCTCGGAGGTCTGCGGGCTGCAGGTCGCACTCTGAACCCACAGTCTTCACCAACGACTCCACGAGCCCTGGACAGATCTCTCAGATGGACACAAAGGATTCAGCTGCTCATGCACCAGTTACAAGCACGTCGCAGTCCCAGCAAGTCCCAGCAGCAGCACCAGTCTCTGTCCCAACAGCAGCAGCAGCAGCACCAGTCTCTGTCCCAGCAGCAGCAGCAGCAGCACCAGTCTCTGTCCCAGCAGCAGCAGCAGCAGCACCAGTCTCTGTCCCAGCAGCAGCAGCACCAGTCTCTGTCCCAACAGCAGCAGCAGCAGCACCAGTCTCTGTCCCAGCAGCAGCAGCAGCAGCACCAGTCTCTGTCCCAGCAGCAGCAGCAGCAGCACCAGTCTCTGTCCCAGCAGCAGCAGCAGCAGCACCAGTCTCTGTCCCAGCAGCACCAGTCTCTGTCCCAGCAGCAGCAGCACCAGTCTCTGTCCCAGCAGCAGCAGCAGCAGCAGCACCAGTCTCTGTCCCAGCAGCAGCAGCAGCACCAGTCTCTGTCCCAGCAGCAGCAGCAGCAGCACCAGTCTCTGTCCCAGCAGCAGCAGCAGCACCAGTCTCTGTCCCAGCAGCAGTAGAGCTGCTTTCAGATCCAAATGCCTCTCATCGATCACTGGTCTCAGCTCCTGGTGTGTTCCATTGTGCACCACATCTGATGTCAGATCTGGAGAATTACTTCAAAAACAGGTGTTTTGTCTTTTTCTGATTCATTAATTATTTTTATTTTTATTATCATCTAACTCTGTATTAAAGTGTGTATGGCAAAACATACTTTGAAATATCTCTATCATTGGATTTAAGATTATTATTATTGAAATAATACTGACCCACTTTGGCCATTTCTTTTTAGTTTTTTACTTTCAGTTATGGTTTAACTTTCTCATTGTAGATCAGAAAGTAGAGACATATAATGAGTTTGCAAAAAGATTCAGACTCTCCCTACTGTGATTTGTTCTAGAACTTTTCTTCAAAATGTTCTTCCCAAACCATTGGCATTAATGTTGTAACACTGATTTCAAAAAACCTAAGCACAAGTTAAACGGTTGTAATATAGATGGATAGTAAAACATATTTAAAAAAATCATTGTACATACAGTTTTCCCTCGCTATAACACAGTTCACCTTTCGAAGCCTCGCTGTTTTGCGTTTATTTTTTATGTGCGATTGCGCTTTTCTACAGCTTCTCATGCACCGCATGCTTACTCCAACAACATCTAATACACTGTGTGCCACAGTGATTAGTGCTCTTTGTGATCTCTCTCTGATCTCTCTCTGCCTTAAAACATACATCTGCTGCTTCAAGGATTTCACTTATTATTTTTAGAACACATCACCCCTGCATTAAGGGACCAGTGTAGTGCAGCGATTTTAACTTTTATGGGGTAGAATATGACTAACATCGATTCTGGGAAAATCCGCTTCTCACAATACTTTCCAGGAGATACAGTATATATTGTTCGTCAAATTTGTTTTTGTGACAGACTTACTTCTGGTCGTCTTCTTTCCATAATTGTTATTTTTTTTGTGAAGCGAGGAGCCCATGGAGCCGCAGCACGAGGCCGACTGTACGTACACTAGGCACAAAGCTCTCTTTACATTGACTTTTGAAAACCTGAAGAACCTCCTCTCTCTTCCTAGTATCCCAGTACGGAGCGGGGAACCTGTCCCGTGTCACTCCCAACACGTCTCTGGGATACATCCAGGCCACGCCTTCACGCGCACTGCCGTCCCCCACCGTCAACACCAGAGAAGCTCTGGGTGAGCAGCTTTTTACAGACACCAGGGGGGTGCGGTTTATGGCTATTCAAGAAAATTCACCATTGGCAAATCATTTTCAAACCGAAATATTGTTTATTTGTGTATTGCCCTCAAATTGCAACAGCCGTCGTGTCAAAGGATTTTGCAAAGTTGTGGACTCGCCAACAACAGATTAGAAAATTCAAGGTTCAAACTCATGAAATGCAATAATAGATAGATAGATACTTTATTAATCCCCGTTGGAGAAATTCAGGTGTCCAGTAGCAGCAACTATAAGAAATAAAATTGATAATTCCAAAAAGATAACAATAGTAATAATCGGCAACAGCCCTGTAGGTCACAGCAGCAGAGGTGGAGTAGCCTCTGGGCGGAGGAGGACAGGTCACAGCAGCAGAGGTGGATTAGTCTGGGTGGAGGAGGACGGGTCAGAGGTGGAGTAGTCTGGGTGGAGGAGGAGGGTCACAAGGGTGGAGTAGCCGCTTAGTTCGGACCATTTTATATCATATATATTATAATAACAAACCTATAGGAGCCGTTGGTTCATAGGAAGCGACATATCACAAAAAGAAAAAAGTAGTCCTCCCAGGTAAACCTCAACTAGTGTTTTTCAATAACAAATGTTCCCGCACTGTATATTTAAAATTGTGCAGCCCTAAGAGAAGCTATGAAGACTTGTTACAGTAGTTAATTGTAATGAAAATAATGTATATGAAAGCCGCAAGCGGCGTTGAACGGCCCTCGCCGCACCTCAACTATTATTGCGCGAATTGGAATGTGAAAAAAGGAGCACATTTTCTATTGTCGAAAATTGGGGGACAAAAGTCACAATTTGCCGCTCTGCTGCTCAAACAACGTTTAACTGATAAATTTACTAAATTAAAATGATGGTACATGTGTTTAAACGATGTGGAGCAATTTTGAGGCGAATCAGTGAAACAGCTGAGGAGGAGATGATTTGCAGCCGACATATGTGAAATGGATCATTTTTCCACTTTGCATTTTATGGGCTTCCTGTTGGTCAGGGGGCGTGGCCATAATACCTTTTTTTCATGTCTTGTCTTGAGGAGTATGTGTACAAAATGCCGTGGCTCTATGCTAAACTTGACCTCGGACTCCATCCCATAGGCGCAATCTAAACTGACTTTTATAGGGTTCGCTTTTCTGCCGTTTTAAAAATCCCATGAAAAGAAACAAAAAAATTTTTTTTGCCGTTTTTGAATTTTGGGCAAGTTTTCGTGCATGTTTAGGGGGTCAAATTAAGGTATTTTTTCGAAAGTCTCAGAGCTAAAACAATTTCAATGTTTCAATGGCACATGATACGTCACTTTTAAAGCGTTTGAGTTTATACACGCAGCCGTCACGTTTTGGTGAGTGACAGGCACTGACGCATCCGTCACCCACCGCCACCTCTTGCATATTCACCATTGTGAAAGCAACCCTTACCCCAGTCGGGTTGAGGCCTAATTATAATTATAAGGATATTGTTCTCTGTCCTTTCAGATGTGATCATGGACATGTTCCAGGCTCCTACTCTTCTAGAAGACCCGTTTCCCAACACTGCAGAGGGCAACTTTGACATCATTTACACCAGAAAGGGTAAACCTGCTTCATGGGACATTTATCAACAGACAGAAACATGTGACAGACTAAATGTGAATGTTTGTGAAAGGTCCCAGTGTGAAAGAAGCAGCAGCAACTTCAGCCCCGTTCACAATCTTCCAAGACGACCAGGAGAACGACCAGGAGAACGACCAGGAGAACGACCAGGAGAACGACCAGGAGAACGACCAGGAGAACGACCAGGAGAACATCAGGTGCACACACTTCATCTGTCAAGACAAATTTTATTTTTAGACTTGAATTTATTTACCAGCTTCAATGAGGTTAGGTTTATAATGAGTTTTGTTTGCTTGAAACTCCCATTGCCACCACCAAAGGGAAAGGTTAAATAGTGCGTAATTTGATAAAAAAATCCCAGTATCGACCTATAAATAAATTACCCAGTGTAAACCCAGGGGTGTCCAAACTCTTTAGTTATATTGGTTCACACGCAGCTGAAGTTGGCTGGATGACACTGAGTTTGTGTTTATGATCTCAGATTAGTGTGTGTTAGCAGCAGAGGGCCACATAACATCACACAAAGGACCACAATTGGCCTGCAGGCCTCAGTTTAGACACGCTTGTACTAAAGAGTATGTCATTTTAGTTGTTTTTAGGATTGTGTTAAATAGAAATGTAATTTGTTCTCAGCGTGCCGCCGGCTGTAGAGGGCATGAAGCCGTTCAGAGCGCTGGTGGAACTCCCAAAACCAAACGTATGCCGCAAAACAAGTTTGCGCATAAGAGAACGCAGTAACGGTGCTCTGACCAAGGTGTATGTCGCTGCAGGACTTTCCCTCAGATCTGGCCCCAGAGGAGAGCACTCTGTGGGGAGCCCAGTTCCTGGCTCAGCACTCTCTGGCTGCGTGTCCCAACAGCACGTCCGACTTTGCCATGTTGGCCCACTGTGTGTCCACGCCGTTCACCCACAAAACTCCAATGAGCAACAACTTCTTCCCTGACCAAGGTACCGTCCTACATGTCACTTAAAGGAGGAGTATGCATGATTGTTATCCATTAACATTAGAATGTTTCCACCAGCCCTACTGTACTCTACTCAGCTATACACTACTCTGTTGTGTTTCAGTTACGTTTTAGTATCTGGTGCTGTATCCTTGCAACCTACTCACAAAAATACAATATCCAGGGAAATTCCTTTGTGATCATATCTTCCAGCACCCTGGCCAATCACAGTCACTTGGAACACTGTAGTACAAGCTCGGCCTGGAAAGAAATAGAATCAGGGTAAAGAGGGACGAAAGAGGGCCCTGGTACTGGTTATACAGGGTCAGCGGAAACACTCCCATCCGCAGGGCAAAATGCTGTCCACCAGCAATGGAAAGGGCTGAAGATGGGTGGACTTACAAAATGTATGGTGAAGGGTGAAGCATAGGTTGCCACCTATGCGTCATCCTTCATTGGGAATTCTTGGGTTTCATATGACGTCAGGGCAGTGGCGCGAATAAAAAAAGTAGGACAGGACGTGACGTATCCTGGCAGTACAGTCTGCTGGGTTTATACACGGAGATATAGAAGAAGTGCTGTCAAAATGCAATCTTTTTGTACGGTGTACGGTTGTAGCAACCGCGCATAGAGAGAAAGACAAGAGTTTCTTCCGTGTTCCAACGTCTCATATAAAGGAGTACACTTTGAAAAAATCACTCGAGGGAGGTGGACCGGCTGGTGTCCTGGTGCAGTGGTAATAACCTGGAGCTGAACGCCCAGAAGACAGTGGAGATGATTGTGGACTTCAGGAAGAGCACTGTCCCCCCCGCCCCCACCCTCCGTGATGGACTCCCCCATCACCTCTGTGGAGTCCTTCCGTTTCCTGGGCACCACCATCACCCAGGACCTCAAGTGGGAGCCGACCATCAGCTCCCTCATCAAGAAGGCCCAGCAGAGGATGTACTTCCTGCGGCAGCTCAGGAAAGCCAAGCTGTCTGCACAGATGTTGGTGCAGTTCTACACGGCCATCATCGAGTCCATCCTCACCTCCTCCATCACCGTGTGGTTCGCTGGAGCCACAGTCAGGGACAAACAGAGACTACAGCGCATTGTGCGCTCTGCAGAGGAAGTGATCGGCCGCAGCCTTCCATCGCTGCAGGACCTGTACGTCGCCCGAGCTCGAGGCCGGGCTGGTCGTATCACAGCCGACCCCTCTCACCCTGCACATGGACTATTCCAACCACTCCCCTCAGGCAGGAGACTGCGGTCCATCAGGACTAGAACCTCCCGCCGCAAGAACAGTTTCTTCCCCTCTGCTGTTGGACTCTTGAACACTTCTTAACCTGTCCCCCCGCCCTTTATAAAGTCACTTTACTGCCCATCATACGTCACTTTACTTTACTGTACTGCTGTCACCTTACATTGTGTGCACCATGTGCACTTGTTTATTGTAAATAGTAACTGTAACTCTATTTTAAATTTAAATGTATTCCTTAGAAGTGTTTTTTATTCTTTATTTTTATTATCTCTTTCTGACTGTTGCACTGAGCCAAAGCAATTTCCAAGTCTGTGACTTCCTGTTACTTACGTGGCAATAAAAATGATTCTGATTCTGATTCTGAATGAGGCAGGAGAGGTGGATCAAGGCTTTCCACCTGCAGGCCAGCAGCAATTTTTCTTTTTTTTTTTTTCTTTTTCAAAAATGCCAGAAAACAAGACTCTTTTGAGACGTTATTTTTTATTACTTCCTTAGAATTGAGGGTGAGAGCCTTTTGACTCCAAAGCAGACAAGATTTAACATTGTTTTCATCGGGAGCAAAACTGAGTTGTCCCACCTCTGCTCATTCGCCCCCTACAGGCCAGTTTAATTTAATGAAACCCAAGAATAGGGAAAATGCTAACGCCAGAGGTAGGGGTTAATTTTGTTTCTTTTATTCAGAGAAATGGCCAAAACAGCAACAGAAATCTCCGTATGCTCAGTGTGATATCATAGGGATACAATGACAGACTATTACAGAACTGAGACAGGAGATATTAGACAGAAGGGACGGGGCTACATGTTTCTGCCAGTAATTCCTAATATTATCCTGGATGGATCTAAACAGAACTGTGTGTTTGATGAGGGAAGAATGTCGTTACATGTAGAAAATCCCCAAAAAAGTGGCAGATTTTTAAACGAAGATTGTAGAATTTTTACATGTCTTTTTCCTGCTTTCTGCCTCTTAGAAATTACCGAAGGGACCGAGGAAGAGTATGTCAGGCGCTACACCAAGAAGTTGAGGTGAGTCCATAGATCAGGGATTCAACTGCAGCCACACCGGCCATTTGAGGGTTGAAACACAAGGTGCCACAAAGGGCTATAAATTGCCAAACTGTCGTGTCCTTAGGCAGAGTCTGATGTGTGTGACTGGTTGGTGGAAGCCTTGCTTCTGTCAGTGTCCCCCAGGACAGCTGTAGTAGTTTGTTCCCCCCCCCCCCAAGTGCTGTATAAAACACACAGTATTATTATTGTCATTATTTTAAAGTGGGAAATCTATTTTCTCGTCTCAGTCTACTTGTACAGTGTATAAATGTCCATCTTGTGTCTTCCAGTCCCATCATTGAACAAAGCCCATCTGAGGAAAAGCCCAGAGATGCCACAGTTGCCTCCACACAGGGCACTTTTGTGGGGGAGGCTGCGGCCATGACCACCTCCTGTACCACCATGGTCCAGCCGCCTCCCCCCACAGTCCTGTCCTTCAGAGACCACACCCTCTGTCCTGGTAACAGCTCTGCCCACAGGTGAGGTCGGCTGGCTTCATTAGTAGACAAACACAATGGTGAAAGGTGGATTATGTAGTTAAATCTAGCTATATTTCAACCAATTTACATGTGATCCCCTCTGTATAGGAGCACCGGGCCTGAGTGGGAGGTCTACACCAGCCCTGAGCCCAAGCCCAGCACTGAGCCTTTCACCATAATGGAAGACATAGATGCTCCATCTGCTGTCCCCCTCCCTCCTCAGGACGTCCCCATGAGTCCTGAGAGTGGCCCCCGGTCAGACTGGCTCTCCATCCACAGCCCTGAGATGTTGGCGGAGAGGGACCTGGATGCCTTCCTGTCCCCCAAACGTCCTGGAGTGACTGACCTGAGCCCAGATGTACCCATGAGTCCCCAAGTGGAGACTGACACAGACTGCTACATGCAGAGCCCTGACAGAGACATGCGGCTTCCATTAGAACTGTCAAGCAGGACCCCTAGAGCTCCCCTAGAGCTGTCCATGAGCAGGGCCCCCAGAGCTCCCCTAGAGCTCTCCATGAGGACTCCCAGAGCTCCCCTTGAGCTGTCCACGAGGACCCCCAGAGCTCCCCTAGAGTTGTCCATGAGCAGGACCCCCAGAGCTCCCCTAGAGCTGTCCATGAGCAGGACCCCCAGAGCTCCCCTAGAGCTGTCCATGAGCAGGACCCCCAGAGCTCCGCTAGAGCTGTCCATGAGCAGGACCCCTTGGCGAGGAGCCTCTCAGATGAGTCTAGTCTCTGATCCATGGAACAATGATCTGATTTCAGATCTGTTGTCCCAAATTGAGCCTCCTCTGACAGCACACCCTCGCTGTGTCACATGGCAGTGCAACATCCCCGACATCGCTCCCATGATGACACTCTCTATGGGTGAGATACTGTGTGGGTGATGGACTGTGTGGGTGATGGACTGTGTGGGTGATGGACTGTGTGGGTGATGGACTGTGTGGGTGATGGACAGTGTGGGTGAGGGACAGTGTGGGTGAGGGACAGTGTGGGTGAGGGACAGTGTGGGTGAGGGACAGTGTGGGTGAGGGACTGTGTGGGTGAGGGACTGTGTGGGTGAGGGACTGTGTGGGTGAGGGACTGTGTGGGTGAGGGACTGTGTGGGTGAGGGACTGTGTGGGTGAGGGACTGTGTGGGTGAGGGACTGTGTGGGTGAGGGACTGTGTGGGTGAGGGACTGTGTGGGTGAGGGACTGTGTGGGTGAGGGACTGTGTGGGTGAGGGACTGTGTGGGTGAGGGACTGTGTGGGTGAGGTACTGTGTGGGTGAGATACTGTGTGGGTGAGATACTGTGTGGGTGAGATACTGTGTGGGTGATGGACTGTGTGGGTGATGGACTGTGTGGGTGATGGACTGTGTGGGTGAGGGACTGTGTGGGTGAGATACTGTGTGGGTGAGATACTGTGTGGGTGATGGACTGTGTGGGTGATGGACTGTGTGGGTGATGGACTGTGTGGGTGATGTACTGTGTGGGTGAGGTACTGTGTGGGTGAGGGACTGTGTGGGTGAGGGACTGTGTGGGTGAGGGACTGTGTGGGTGAGGGACTGTGTGGGTGAGGGACTGTGTGGGTGAGGGACTGTGTGGGTGAGGGACTGTGTGGGTGAGGGACTGTGTGGGTGAGGGACTGTGTGGGTGAGGGACTGTGTGGGTGAGGGACAGTGTGGGTGAGGGACAGTGTGGGTGAGGGACAGTGTGGGTGAGGGACAGTGTGGGTGAGGGACAGTGTGGGTGAGGGACTGTGTGGGGGAGGGACTGTGTGGGTGTCCAATTCAAATAATTTTGATCACTTTTTATAAAATGTTTCCAAAGACTTACCATTGATCTTTAATGATGGAAGAACTGCGACTGAAGTGACTGTTATGTTCTCAGGTCATTCTTCTCTGCGGGTCGATTGTGTTCTTGGACAAGGAGCTTTTGCAAAAGTCTTTCAGGCCACAGACCCAGCAACGTCTGACAAGATGGTTTTGAAGGTGAGTCACACTACTGCTAAATTAGATTAGCACTTTTCTCATGGACATTCATTCTGGACAAAGGTAACAACGACTAGACTGTTCAATATCTTTACATTCACCATTTTTAGGGTAATAGAACATTTTCTGGACTCCCAGAGTTGAGTAACCTATATGGTTTTGTACCTCTTTTAACAAGTGCAATAACTGGTGAATTTTGAAATGCAGGGAATTTGTTGAAAGGTTATATGCTTTTCTGGTGCAAAAGCAGAAACAGCACCTTGGAAAGAAGGGCGTAAACTGCTACAGACATGGTGACATTGGATTTCTTTTCAAAAAAATAAAAAAGTTATTTATGAAGACGACTAATGTATATGAGCAGAGTGATTGCATTTCCAAAACTAAAAGCCATCAGATTAACTGCTCTGGATGGATTTGCTCTTTCAGGTGCAGAAACCAGCCAATCCGTGGGAGTTTTACATAAACTCGCAGCTGGACTGTCGTGTGCCTCCGTCAGTGCGGCACTTCTACAGCACTTTCCACTCGGCTCATCTGTTTAAGAACGGCAGCGTCCTCCTCGGAGAGCTGCACAGCTACGGCACACTCCTGGTGACCGCTCTCTCTGCACATCCACAAACGGCTTATTAAGGAGGATGTGTGACAGTGATTTCTGTGCAGAACGCAGTCAACTTGTACCGCACTCTGGGAGACAAGGTGATGCCGCAGCCTCTGGTCTTGTACTTTGCGGCTTGCATCCTTCACATCGTGGAGCAGCTGCACAGTGTGGGCATTGTCCACGCTGACGTCAAACCAGACAACTTCCTGCTCGGAGAGAGGTATGAAACAGCAGTACTCCAACACCAGGACCCCAACTCTGCCATTACCTTTAACCAGGACCCCAACTCTGCCATTACCTTTAACCAGGACCCCAACTCTGCCATTACCTTTAACCAGGACCCCAACTCTGCCATTACCTTTAACCAGGACCCCAACTCTGCCATTACCTTTAACCAGGACCCCAACTCTGCCGTTACCTTTAACCAGGACCCCAACTCTGCCGTTACCTTTAACCAGGACCCCAACTCTGCCATTACCTCTAACCAGGACCCCAACTCTGCCGTTACCTTTAACCAGGACCCCAACTCTGCCATTACCTTTAACCAGGACCCCAACTCTACCATTACCTTTAACCAGGACCCCAACTCTGCCGTTACCTTTAACCAGGACCCCAACTCTGCCGTTACCTTTAACCAGGACCCCAACTCTGCCATTACCTTTAACCAGGACCCCAATACTAAGGCAGAGCTGTAGAACAATCAGAGTGTGGTTTATTAATTTAGTAAATGTGCACATGTGCCATAAATTCCGCTCTAATAAGCAGCAACTTTTTGCTTAGTTCTTTGAACCACCCTGCAGCTTTTATAGCAAAGCTATGTGTGGTTTATTGTGATGGAGTTGGGCTGTTGTCAAAGCAGAGTTTATGGACTTATGGATTATGTTTTGGACTTCAAGTTTTAGTAGCTGCAGGACACTTTTCATTTGTTTAGAAAATAAACATGGAGCTTAGACAACAACATGCTGTTAGACAACAACATGTAGACCTTATCGATGGCTTGTATTCAAGTGCGGCCGGCCTATATGTGGACATGTTATTTTTCCTAAATTGTTGCTTGTGAAGCTTTAATACAGGTGCAGTTTATAGTCCAGAAAGTACAATACAAGCTCACCTTGACTGCAGCAGTGCTCGGTGAGCCGTCTGCCCTAAGGAGAAATTCCCTGTACACGAAATGGACAGCTGTAAAGCATACTTCTGATATTACATGAATTAAGTCATAATTTGATGTGTGTAATTCAAGGCTGTCCTTTCTGCTTTAACTGATCCCAGATCTGATATTTGGAACTGTTTGATGTGGAACACACAGATATTGTCCCCTTTAGAGCAAAAACATGTTGCCATCAGCTGACCCTACTCCAGCACAAAACAGATACATGTTTTGTATTTGAATCAAGAGTGGGTTGTTTTCTTTTTTACACATCTATACAAGTCATATTTTTACAACAACGTGAAGCAAAGAGTTGCGTCACCTGAAACAAACTCCTAGACAGACCTGACCCAGTGGTGACCTGAAACACAGACCTGACCCACCTCCATACTGTAAATGTTGCTGAATGTCCTGGAGCCTCACCACTGTCCTCCTGAGACCCTGCACAGAGAATCAGACGAGAAATGCTTGTGTCTCAGGTTCCTGGAGATCCGAGGCTTTGACAAGGACGACCTGGACCACGGCCTGGTGCTCATAGACTTGGGTCAGAGCATCGATATGAAGCTGTTTCCTCCAGACACGGCCTTCACCGCCAAATGCCTTACGTCCGGCTTCCAGTGCACCGAGATGCAGACGGGCCGGCCGTGGAACTACCAGGTCAGTGTCAGAAACATCCACATCTCCACGCCTTTATCCAGAGGGAGTAACGTGTGTGTGTGGTGTTTCAGACGGACTATTATGGGGTGGCCGGTACAGTCTACTGCATGTTGTTTGGGACCTACATGCAAGTGCTGAACGATGGAGGCATTTGGAAAACCAGCGGGGTTTTCAGGCGGTAAGTCTGGATTGGGTTCAGAAAATATAGGCTTAGAGGAGTATGAAGGGTAGTTGTGGCAAGTGCCAACATTTCGGCCACTGGAGTTTTCAGTAAGGTGTAAAAAGGCCTGTAGACACCAATACATGGTGTGTAAAAGAGCATGTGGTAATAGTTGTGGGTTCAATCCCCCCACAAGACTTACTCCTACTGATGTCTGTTGTGTCCTTGGGCAAGACACGGAATGTAAAAATGTAAAATGGCAGTAAGACAAAAAGTGGTGTGGAAAATGGCATTTAGACAACAAATGGCGTCTGAAATGGCTAGGTTTGAAACAAAATGGCAAGATTGAAAAATGGTTTGTGTACAAGATGCATCACCTTGTACTGTTGGTGTCAGACTCCGTTGTTGGAGATCACAAGTTTGTATCCTGCTGGACTTTAATTCCTTGTAAATAAATGGTTTGTTGTTTTTTGATAATTCACCTTAATGAGAGTTTTTCCTCAAATAAACACTTTTTTTGTATAACCTCATAACGGGTTGGAGTAAGTTGAGTGCATCTGGTAGTTTTGACTGCTTCAAGGAAATTATTTTCTCCACTACGCCATCATGTGGATGAAATTGTAGAACACGCTATCATGTGGATGAAATTGTAGAACACGCTAAGTGCTTACAATAATTTTATAAATTTTGCTAATTCAAAAATTATTTTGACGCTAGTTGGAGTCCAATAGCAGTTCAACACTTACTAACTCACCAACACGCCATCTGCTGTCTACTTGCCTTTTTTGGTAGATCCAAAACTACCTTCTGATTGTGTGTCTCTCATATGAAACTGGTTTCTGTCTCTGCAGAAATCCTCACAGTGATTTATGGCAGGAGTTCTTCCACACACTGTTGAACGTCCCCGACTGCAGCTCCTTACCTGACCTGAGGCAGCTGCGGCACAAGCTTCTGTCTACACTGCAGCAGAACTACAGCTCCAAACTGCCTTCGCTGCAGAGCCGCCTCGTGGTGCTCCTCCTGGAGAGCAGCAGGAACCAGCGCAGATTACCCTTTTCCCTTTAGTTTTTAAAAAGCATCTTCTCTTGTTTTCTTTCTTTTATCTTCAATAAAGTTTTTTCTACATCTCTATAGTAACTGCAATGCATTTCTGCAGATAGATTAACACAATGACATTTGCTCAAAACATAAGGACATTATTGTCAACTTTAGAATGATTCTCAAATGCACTATGGCATAATCTTTAAGTGTGTTAAAACTTTAGAACTGTGACTTATGTACAAATAAAATAACTATTGAATAAGAAAATATGTATGCTTGTTATTTTTTACTAGTAACTGATAAACTGTCCTTTTCTATTTGGAGTTGTTGAGATGTAGGTGATGGACTGAGAAAGAATGCAGATAAAATCCTCAGGAACAGGTCTCGACTTCTCAGCAACCTCAGTCTTAAGATTTAAACTGATGACAATGTGACGTTTTGTAATAAAGCAGCTCTACTTCTCGTGAATGTTTCTTTTTTTACTGAAATATGTGTAAACGGGTATTTGCTTCACCAGCCTTAAAGATTGAGGATTTGCTCCAATAACGTTTCCACCCACTGTACTCGCCTCTACTCTACTCTGATTGGAGGTGTTTCCACTAGTCCTGTTTAACCAGTACCAGGTCCTATCCAGGCCAAGCTGGTAAAGTGTTCTGACAGTGATTGGCCAGAGTGCTGTTTCGCTGAAACCCAAACATCTGGTTGGACGAGTGTTGCAGGAGCTGTGGGAGGAGCTTAGTACAAACTTTGACAAGTTGAGACATTTTCAGGATTTTCTTTGATGCGTCTGGAGCCGAAGAGAAGGATGTGTTCACGAGGGCTCAGCGACGAAGAGGCGGCTGCTGCCTGCAAAGAGGGACACCCCATGACCAAGGTAAGAGAGGCTCCCTCAGGACAAGGGTCAGAGAGAGTCCCCACTGTCTTCCAACAGGCAGGGATGCTCTTTGCAGTAGCTATAGCTACCTAAGGGTGGGGTATGTAACTTTCAAAATACAACAATGGGCTTTAGCCTTGTATATTCCAGCCTGACTTTTCTACCTCTATCAGGCGCTAAGATTATAAACAGAAGGTAGAGCTGGAGGAAAAGTAATGTTATGTAATATCAATGTCACTAGTTCCAGCCTCAAACTGTTTGAGTCTGTCATAGAAGTGTTCATGTATAGTATTTTTGGTCATTCTCAGCCTTCAGGGCTCTTTATTACAAGTATGCAAAAGATAAAGACCACATTTTGGTTGAATATGTTCCAACAGAAAGTCTTAGAAAAATAAAATATTGGAACTCTCGCGTATCCCAGCAAATTATAATTATGTGAGGGATTGGCTGTTTACAACCTCTATTCTAATCTTATTATTATTCATCTTAAATTAATTTTAGCTTGAAGTTATATATTCAGAGTATCACCAAAGCTGAATAAAACCAATCCAGATGCCTTCTAGAAAAATTGTTTGCATAATTATTAGTACATGCTGCAGTCTCACCAGTACATAGCAGTAGTTGTCGCAGACCACATTTTGAGAAATACTTGTGGGTCACCTGTTCCAGCTGCAGGTTTAGACACATCCTCCTGCTCATTACTGAAATGTCTGAGGGTTAAGGAATCATGACAGATGGAACCACTCTGTGAAAAGAGACAACAATTAGTCAAAAACCATTTTTAATTACATAAAATCTATTTTTAACAGTACATTTTGACCAGATTTGCTATAGTTATATATTCTGTGTGTAGGATTACGTGATGCAGCAGACCTCGCTGAGGGTGAAGGATCCTGCTCGCTCTCTGGACTTCTACACCGGGATCCTGGGAATGACGTGAGTGTCTGTCCAGGGCAAAAAAAACACTAAGCTTCTGAATGGCCTCTGTTAAGTCTGCAGTACCTAACATACAAACCAACAAATAACGTAACAAAATCCACCTCACTGGGTCCTTGCTCTCAGAACAGTTTTGTTATACATCACTGGTTTGGGTTTCATCTTTAGATCAGAAAAGTGATAAATAAAGGATCACTCTCACTCGGCTAATCAGCACTCAGCCCAAAGAGTCAAAAAGTGACTCACAGGGATCTTTCTTACAGTGTTTACTCGTATGAAGACAATGTGTTGTGGTCTGATTTGTTGACAGCATTTTCTTTTAAAAAGACCCTTTCTTTCGGACAAACGGCCCCCAACCTTTACCACTATTTCGTTTATTTAAAGCCTTGTTTCCACCAGCTCTGCTCCACTCCACTCCACTCCACTTCACTCTCCACTCTTCCTTACTCCACTCAACTCTCCTCTGTTCCTCTTGGCCATGGTTCTATCCAGGCCGAGCTGGTACGAAAGTGTTCTGTGATTGGCCAGAGTCCTGCTGGAAGCCATGGTTACCAAGGAATGTCCCTGGATACTTGTTTGTTATACTGAATACGTACTGTACATTGAATATAAGAGATCCTCCCATGTAGATTGTATTGATATGAATCATTGACTTAAAACAGTCAATAGTGGCGCCCCCTGCAGGTGAAAGCCAGATTTTGTCAGACCTTTGAAGCTAAGCAAGGCAGGGCTTGATTAATACAGTGATGGGAGACCTCTGTGTACACCAGGTAGCGCAGTGGGGCGGCTGTAAAATGTCAAACTGTGGTTGTGTCCTTAGGCAAGACACTTTACCACATTAGAGTGAGTGTGGTGTGTGAGGGGTTGGCGGTAGGAGAGGAGCCGATGGCAACATACCAGTAGTCTCGCTTCTGTCAGTGTGCCCCAGGGCAGCTTTGGCTACAGTTGTAGTTTATCATCACTGTGTGTAGAGTGAATGAATGAAGCTGTGAAGTGTCTTTGTGTGTGTCCAGAAAAGGGCAGTAAAAAACCATGCTTTATAATTAGGGCTGTCAAAATTATCACATTAATTCATGTTAATTACCGTTTTCATTAACGCGTTAAAAAATAATTTACGCATTAACTGACATTGACGTGTTAACACGTCAATTGCGTTTCCTGCTATTTTCACGTTCCCAGATGTCTATTGTATCCAATATGTAAGGCTTGAGGCAATATTTTATCGAGCCAGCAGATGGCAGCATTGCTCTATGAATGGTTTGAAAACAGCTAGATGCACTTGTGCCTCTTTTTTCTGATGAAAGTAGACAGTCCATTCTTTCAGAATCTGGTTTTGGATTTCAGATAGTCATAGTACACAATATTCTGTGGGTCTTGAAAATTCAGTAAAAATCATCAGAAACTGCTGGCAATATGGGAGTACCTGTTCTGAAATAGGTTGGCAGTCAATGAGTTAACGCATGTCCGAATGACCCGCCCATTTATAATAATATCACTCAGAATGCCACGGGCACTTGCGTGTGTGATGGTGACAGCGGTAACGTGGTCATATAATACACGCATATATATACACGCACAGGGGCCATTCTCTGATATTGTGTGACACACGGAGGAGCGAAGGAGACACGCTGAAATGCAACCAAACTCGCAAAATTAAAGCTGGGGTACCTACATTTTCCCTTTCATTAACAGCTCTTGTTGGTTGTACCCAAAAGTAGAAGGTTGTGAGCAAGTCAAACAGATTTAAGTACATTTGGTATGAATAACAATGTGTCATTACATTTGGAAATCTCATTTAACTCCAATTGGAGCGGATTTGAAATAGAATGTTAAAAATGCGATTAATCGTGAGTTAACTCACCATTACTATTCGATTAATCAACTAAAAAAAATTAAACGTTTGACAGCCCTAATGTATAATAGAAGTTGATTATATGAAACATCAATTTTCTGTTTTTGTTTTCCGTTTGTTAAAAAAATTGGTAAAGAGTGGCTCATGGATTCAATCATATTCAAAGTGTTGCCTCTTGCCTTTTGTCCTGTTTTTGCAGGTTACTACAGAAGATCGATTTCTCAGCGTTGGGCTTCTGTATGTACTTGGTGGGCTACGAGGAGAAGGCAAACATCCCAGAGAACCTGATGGAGCGGACGGCCTGGACCTTCTGCAGACACGGGGTCATCGAGCTCGTTCAGTACGACCCTCTCACCGTCACCGATGAATGTTTTCTTGATTTAGAAATGGACTGTAATAAAAGCTGCACTAACTGACTTTGGGATTTTGAAGCCGCGGACTCGCTGGCCTCGCTCTTTCTGCTCCCCTCCCTGCACCCACACATTCTCTTCCTTGTTTCATCAAAACTCTATCTAAAATATAATGTCACGGCAGCACAAATCTGCGCTACTTTTTCTTCAAAAGGACGTATATCCCAATGCCCTACATGGACATGGATAGCATTTTTGTAATGATTACGAAAATATAGTCAGTTAGTGCAGCTTTAACTATAAAAATGTCACATATATATGTGTATGTGTATGTGTATATATATACTATAGCATAATGGAAACACAAGCATGTAGAGTAGAGTCAGTCAAATCGGTTCCTCGTCTTGACTCTCACATACAGTAGAGACACTGATTGTTTTTGTTTTTGTTTCAGTAACTTGGGAGCGGAGATGGACACAGGCCTGTCGTACCACAGCGGAAACACAAAGCCCTTAGGATTTGGTGAGTCTGAACATTTTAATATAAAGAGTTAATTACTGCGTTGTGTAGAATCAAAAACAGTAACTGGACTTTAACCAGAGCGGTCCGTCTGAAGGTCACATCGGGATCTCTGTTCCCAATCTGGCTGAAGCCTGCACCTACTTCCAGGAACGTGGGGTTACATTTGTGAAGCAAGCCGGAGAAGGTACAGAATATGTCTTTTGTATGCTTTAAGTCCTGTAGTTTAAGCCGTTTACTTTAATTATAAGTGGTAACAACCTCTGCACAGAGAAAGATCAAACTCCAAAAGTGGCCTGTTTCTCCGTGGTTAATGTGAGGGAGGGTGTGGCGTCTGGGGTGATTAACTTTGGAGTTTTGACCTTTCCCCTTTCACAGCTGGAGGCAAATGTCACTGATGAGATTTGGGGATCTGTACTGTATCTGAAAAAAATATACTCATCTATTTACAAACCTATACACTTTTTATTTAAACTGGTCCATGTTCATGCCAGAATGTTGGATTCGACTCAACCGAAGAGGGACATATCTTTCACATTTCTAGGAGTTTGAAGGATTTAGGCGACAAAATATGAACAAAAAAAGATTCCAGTTGCACCAGTTTGTTTCCGGTACAGTTCAACATTTGTGGCTCATTATTGATCCAGAGCAACGTCAGTCTGAAAAAAAAACAAAAAAAAACGGATAACAAAGATTAGAGTCATATTGAAGAGTTCTGATGTATTTACTGCATTTGAACAAACACTGAATGACATCTGCAGGAGGGAGGTTAATTGAGATTATGAGTGTATGAACCCCCCTGGTTTCAACCCTAGTGGTGAAGGAAGCAGAGCCGATGACTGAGGAGGTGGTGATGGGGAGGAGGAGGGTTGCTGCACAAACATGACAAGACTGAAAGGCTTGGTTTAAATGCAGCTGAGGCTCTTGTGAGGGGCTCAGGTGTGAAGCAGAGGAAGCACTCTGTCTGGAGGGAACCATGTCTCCTAATCTTCCAGTCTGTCTTTCCTCTTTACCTGTGTGTTATAAAAAACTAAAATGTAATGCTGTATCTGTGCTCTGCCCCTTTACAAACGCCCCACTCAGTCCAGAGGAAGTTAGCAATCAGCAAATATTTTCTCTTAGAGAACAGCAGCTCTAAATGTGATCATGTACATTTCTAAAAGATGAATTCATGAAAGGCCACTACCTACTTTTCCTTATGTGGAACTATGTACAACCATTTCCTCAGTCAGAATCCAGTTTGAGCCTCTGTCACGTCTTACCGGACAACCCTTCCTATCTTAACCACAAGAGGGCGCCAGTCCCAAAGCAATCATGCACTTGGTTAGAATAAAACATGAATGTGCGACTTTATGGGGAGGCTGTTGCTGCTTTAAACCTGTCTCCACGTGGACTAGAGGCCACTCACGGTACTGCAACCAAGATCCACAGGGGCTGTAAGGTTATTTCCCCACAGACTTCAGCGTTCACTAAAAACAGCTCGTCCTCAGCTGACTAACTACAGCAGAGTTTATGGGGATTATAGTGGGTCTTGTCATCTTTAACTCTTTTCTTTTGAAATCTATTGGTTCTCTGGTCTCTCTCTGGTCTCTCTCTCTGGTCCCTCTCAGGTCCCTCTCTGGTCTCTCTCTGGTCTCTCTGTGGCCTCTCTGTGGTCTCTCTGTGGCCTCTCTGTGGTCTCTCTCTCTGGTCCCTCTCTGGTCTCTCTCTGGCCTCTCTCCGATCTCTCTCTCTCTCTCTCTGATTTCTAGGCTAGGGGTCTCTAACGTGTAGCTCGGGAGCCACCAGTAGCTCACAACCCCCTTCCATGTAGCTCTCAACATGACGCACTTTCAGCTCCATATCTCTGTATGTTGTGTGCTACTGTGCTCTCACAACTGTCCTGTAAGTGCATGGCAACACGGGAATTTCCCCACTGTGGAACGAATAACGGTTCTCTTGTCTTATCTGAAAGTAAAATGGAAGTTGAAATTCATATATAAAGAGTTTTGAAGAGGAGGGATATGAGGCATTTTGAAACTAAAATAACACAATTTAAATGAGCAATTTGGCAAAAATTGCTCATGTTACCTGTTTCTCCGGTCCTGCAGAAGTAAAAGCGCTATTGTAAAGCGCTGTGACTCTGGTCTGTGAAAGGCACTATATAAATAAAGAATGTTTGGGTCATTCATGGGGCAAACATGAGCCGATATTGACATGAACACAGGCCATTGATCTGAATGGGGCTTGCAGACCAGGGGCAGACATCTTGGAGACCGTGGTGTGAGTGTTCCAAAGAAAACGTGTTTAACATTCTCTTTTCGATCTTTTTCAGGTAAAATAAAGAACTTGGCCTTTATACAGGACCCAGATGGATACTGGATCGAAATATTGAGCCCTGAGAAAATGTGTGAAATATTGTGTTAACGAAAATATCACTGATCCACCGGTTCTTCACTGTTTAGGTCTCATTTTCCTCTCTGTATTTATTTGTAATAGAAAAATAATAAACACAATTTATCTGAATGCACTCTGATGGTTAAACTGGAAAACACATGTTAGCGGTCAAGAAGGATTCCACACATTCAACTGTTTGAATGAAAGTGACAAATAATTTACGATACGGTTAAGAAATGGAAAAATTGCAATGAGAGACCACCGAGATATCAGCCCCAGAGAGGCCAAAGAGAGAGGCCAAAGAGAGAGACCAGAGAGAGACCAGAGAGAGACCAGAGAGAGACCAGAGAGAGACCAGAGAGAGACCAGAGAGAGACCAGAGAGGGACCAGAGAGGGACCAGAGAGGGACCAGAGAGGGACCAGAGAGGGACCAGAGAGGGACCAATATAATATAATAGGCAAAAATAAGGATTTGCAGCAAGTTACATACTGCAGAAGAGAGTTTTTTTGGCACATTTATCAGCTGGCATTCAGAGCTGCCGGCCCCTCGCTGTTCTTTCTGCAGATGGTGGGTCCACGGGAAAATGGCTGCTGCTTCGACAGAGATACAGCCTTGGGTTTCAGAGGGGGCTTCAGGCAATGTGGGGTTAAGTGTCTGGCCCAGGGACATTTATTTTTGTTATGCTGTTATGTCGGAGCACTTCACAAAGTTGTCAATTCGCCAACACAGATGAGAGAAGGGTGTGTTCACAGTTAAGTTAGCATCTGGACTTTGAAAGGTTGTAACTCAAAAACAAAATGTACTATCAGACATTGGAAGAAAGATTTCAAACACAGAAATATCAAAGAGATCGTGTGGATAAAATCAAAAGGAAAAATTTACAAATACATTTTTGGCAAAATTTTAAAAGCCTCAGATTTGATCATTCTACTATCAATGACAGAGCGGCAGATGAACTCCCACAGATTAACATTTACACAACATCAGGAAATCATTAAAAAAAAAAAATCAATACAAATGTAAATGACCCTTTAAAAATACAGACATGATGGTTTTCCGCCCATTTTTTTTCTAAAAATTAAAACAATGGTCTGGAATCACATTTAATTGGTTTACTATTTGAACGTAATAACTTTGTTTCTGAAAATATGTAACAAACTTCTGCATAGCTCATTTCGTCAAAACATCACGTTACACAAACAAACAGGCATAAAACAGTTCTCTTCTAGCAACTGGACAGAAGAGCAATTTGGATTAATGAAAAACATACTTTTTCTTCTGTTGTAATTTTTGGCCTTCTGTACCCTTTAGTGTGAACAAGCCCATAAACAAACAGTTCAAACCACAGGAAATGCAATAATATCAAAAACATAGGAGCAATCGGTCCGTACGGAGAGGGATGACCAGTTTCCAGAAATCTTGGCTGTAGATGCAGGACTGAGGGCCGAGGCAGGTTCAGTTTAGTCCAGTTCAGTTCGTTTGATCCTCTTGTGCGTCAGAAAGCCCCCACCTCAGTGCCCCACGGTCGGTACGGTTTCCTGCAGTGACCAGTGGAGGCCGCGGGGGAAGGGCCAGGTGGCGCGCCCTGAGCCTGCACCGAGCTGAGGCCGTGAGGGGAAAGGACCGGAACACACCCCGGGGCTTCGACGGGCACCAGTCCGAACAGGGCAGGTCTCGGGGGCCAGTAGGGGCGCGGTGGGGGGTAGTGGTGCTGAGGCAGGTGCAGGCGGGAGGCGCAGCTGCTAAGGTGGGACAGCAGTCTGGAGCGCAGAGGGTCCGAACAGTCCAGTCCCTCCACACAGGCCAGGTACCGGGACACCTCCCCCACACACTCCCTAAAACCCAGCCCCAGGAAGTCCAGCGCCACGGCCTGGGCCTCGAAGTAAGCTGAGGGAGCAGAGGGCAGAGGTCATGGAGGCTGAGGCAAAATACACATTCATTTTCATCTCAAATCCTTTTATGAGCTGGTGGAAGTGTGTGTGGAAACTACTGTACACAGATAGATAATGCTATACTGCTAGCTCAATAAAGTATTCATGGACAAAGTTTGGCTATAACTCGCTCTGGCTCCTATTGGCTGACATGTAAAAGTCCTCTAACTTCTCCAAAATCTGTGGTTTAGATCTCTCTGTGATCTTGGTGTTTATAAAGTGATATTGTCTTTGTAAAGCCATATATGAGCCATATAAGGATTGACCAATCAGATTCCTTCATTCACGGGGGAAACTAGCTTACCTTTGAAACCGTCTTCGCAACACGCCGCAGAAGACATATAAGGAAATTGATTCAAACCAGTTTATGTTCAAATCATGCATTTATCATGCATTTAGGCTAACGCTAAAGTGATGTCAGTCCATTCCTAATACACTTTCTACAGTGGGAACCCAGGAACCAGGCAACGGATAAAGCAGAAGAACAAAGATGGATGCTTAGAGTTACAGGTCAAAAGTATCAATTTTGAGAATCAATCAATCGATCAAAATGTGTTTTTTGTGGGTACAGTACTTAATTATGTAGGGTAGGGTAGGTGTGACTTTTATCCGCACACCCTGTGATCCTGGAGCGATGCCCCGTCGGTCTGTGGGAGCGGATCCCCCTCTGAATGTTGGCCTCCCTGAAGTTTCTCACTTTTTCCTACCCTACTTTTTTTTATTACCGCAGTTACTTGTTACTTTACCAGTGAGACTAGCTCAACGCAGTAAGTTCTGGAAACCCGAATAACAGACTTTCTGATTGGTAGAAAGGTGGAGGGGCGGGACATCAAAATGAAAACAATAACAATAAGATTTAGGGGCTGTAAACCTCATTTTGAAATTCGAATATCTCGACTGAACTACTGTTATCTGTGGAGCGTGAGCAAGAGCATGGTTTATTAATGCCTTTTGACAGATTAGGGCCATTTAATGATGACTTGACATGAAAATTTTACATATTGCTACTTTAAGTCGTACACAGAATCAAAGCAATCTCCCAGAGACCCGTTCCCCGGCAGCGCTGCTCATCCTGGGAACAACATGAAGTCTTTTCTGATAGAATAGATCCCCTCGTCATATGGACCCGACGAACGAGTACAACGTGTGATCGGTGAGCTGCGATCGGAACGTCCTCGAGCTGCGGTCTGACCCCAGGGTTCTGAGGCATGAGGAGGACTTTTGTTTAGCTTCACGTTTGATGTAAAAGTGACAGAGAAACAGCCACAAGAGGAGCTCTCTGTTGTCTGCTCTATTGATTTGTGTGAGCGTGTGTGCGATAATGTTACGCTCTATATCTGCACAAACTCTGGAGTTAAACAAAGACCTCCATTTCAAATCTGTAATGAGCTGAGAACATTAGACTGTATTTATATTTACTCTCAACATGGCGCACTTTCAGCTCCATATCTCTGTATGTTGTGTGCTCCTGTGCTCTCACGACTGTCCTGTAAGTGCATGGCAACACGGGAATTTCCCCACTGTGGAACGAATAACGGTTCTCTTGTCTTACAGTATCTGAAAGTAAAATGGAAGTTGAAATTCATATATAAAGAGTTTTGAAGAGGAGGGAAACGAGTCATTTTGAAACTAAAATAACACAATTTAAATGAGCAATTTGGCAAAAAACAAAACTCTCCAGGCAGGCGTCCTGGCGGGGCATGTCCCACGGGGAGGAGACATGGAGAAGATCCAGGACACGCTGGAGGGACTCTCAGCTATAGCCTGAGTCATGAATACTAGTTGGTTGTTGGTAGGTTGCTAGCTTATGGTACCAGATACTAAAGCTCAATAGAAATAGAGTAGAGTAGCAGAGAAGAGTGTGTGGTAAGAGAAGTCTGGACAGCTCAGTTTGCTGGAAAAAAATGTCATGGGTGAGAAAATACACTTTGAATATAACTGCAGGTCTTCTGGTCTCAGCCCAGAGATGACGAGCTTCAAACAAGCTTTCATTGTTTTATAACATTTATTTATAAGAAATTCTATCTTTTTTTCTTTCAGACCTTGGAGGTGGGCGGGTACTTTGCAGCTAATCTCCACAGCTGAAGGATTGTATCTTCTCCCTTTTTAATATATTGTGATCATTTAGTATTTTAATTCCCTGTGTGATTATTTCTTATTTTGTTATAAATAAATATGTATATTGTTGTAAGTTTATTATCGTTCATAATGTCTGAATATTACTCTGGTCATGAGGTGCAGAATCAGACTGGGTCCTCACCGTTTCCTCCAGGAGCCTGGAGCATCTTGAGATGGTCCACAGTCATCTGTAAGATCTCTGCTTTCTCCAGTTTAGCCGAGCCCTGAGCAGCGGACACCAACACAAGTCATGTTTTTAGAGCAGGGGTGTCCAAACTTTGTAGTCAGAGGGCCACTTTAGTTCACAGACTTGTCCAGAGGCAGACCACCAAGATGTTTAAGATTTAAAAAAAATAATGGCCTGTCTATGTGAATGAAGTCAAAAACTGGATTCTAAAGGGACAGCCTGTCTATGATGGCTGAGCTGGAGGTGGCTGGATGACCACAGTGGACTTTGATTACTTTGAATCAAAAAAAATAACTTACTAATTTTAAGTAATCAACGGCCACAAAACATGACACAGAGGGCCGTATTGGACCCGCAAGCCTTGGTTTTGACATGCCTGATTTAGATTTTGGATGTGATTATTTTCAGTGTAGATATTAAACTATCTAAGAAAAAACTCACTCCGCTTTTGATTTTACTGTGTACTAGTTGCAGTTAGTTAAGCATTCACAGCTACTTGTATTTTTTGTGTGCTCTTACTACTGGAGTCACATGATTTGAAGATGCAAGTTTGGGCAATGAATCCATGGTAGGTCCATCCTTATTAGGGTTCTCTGATGTATATGGCCACTAAACATTTGTCATTCAGCCAACTTCAGCTTCATCATATGTCTAGTGAACTAAAGTGGCCCTTGGTGTATGGTGGCACACATACTGTAAGGGCCAGATCTGTGGAGAGGCATCAGTCCTACCTGCTTCTCAAACGCAGACGGCACCAGTCTCCTTAACTCTAACAGGCTGTTGTTGATGCGGTCCCTGCGCCTCTTCTCAATTATCTGGGGTAAAAAACATGATTATTTAGATCAAAGAGCTCATTTATTATAATGGCACTAACTCCGTCTGTTCCTCGTACCCCTCTGCGCTTCTTCCGGGCTTTGACTTGAGTCGTTGTGGAGGGAGAGGCACAACTTATGAAGGACGCCGTTATACGACTGGAAAGACACCATTTATATTTAATACAGATTTAAAGATGGGATAACTCACTTTGAAACAACAAAAATAACGTATTTGTGTATTGCCCTAAACAACAGCATGTCTCTGAGGACTTAACATATTTAAACATCCATCATCATCATCATCACTGTCTTTATACCCTCCTGCATCAAGAGACCACTCAAAAACCCAGTGGGAAATAGTGAAAAACCCTCATGGAAGCCTAATTCTCTGTTTTATAGTATGTACAATATACTGCAGCTCAAGTCCTGACTAGAACCAGGATGTTCTCAGACATCAGTCCTGGTCTCGGGTCTCTGCACTGGCTCTCTGTGTTCAAATCTCTCCATGGCCTCGCACCAAAGTACATCTGTGACATGTTAGTGTCATATGAACGGACTCTGAGGAGCACAGGGACTGGTCTCCTCCTGGGATTAAACATGCAGAGGAAGCGTTTCAGATTTATACATCTGAAATCTGGAAGTCTTCCAAAGAACATTCTGTTTCACTGCAACAACTGAAGGATTTTATCTTCACTTTTTATAATGCACTATGATTAAGACTGTATGTTGGATGGGAACTGTACTATACAAAGAAACATACTACTATTATTTTTCCAAGGTTTTTAATCTATTCTGTTTAGGTATAACATAATATCCCATTAAACCAATACTATTATAATTTGCTGAAGTAACTTACGTCTCTCTAATCTGTTAACAATATTTGATTTTTGTCTATAATCATAAAATAATAAATGATTAGAAATATCATATTTTCTCACCCTGAATACACGTGTTCACAGCCGACATCAATGAGTTCGTCCGAGTCACTTTCCCGGGAGCTGCTGTCTTCAGAAGGCCGCTTCATGACGCACGGAGGCCGGGGAAGCTCCGCGCCTCTCCCCGGGGGACGGATGGAGGTGGTCGCAGGGAGAGGTGTGTTACCCCCAAAAAATGCTCTTTTCCTTTGTGTTTAAATGAAGTAATCCTTTATGCTGTTTTTTAACCAGTTTACGACGTTTGTAGCCAGATTTAGTCACATTAAATATATGTATTAAAATAATACAAAACTAGTCTTAAACTTGGATTGAAAATAGCAGTTGATAAATAATAAATAATAAATAATGAACGAAAATGTGATGAAAATATTGGAGTATCCCACGTGCCCGCGGCACGTTGTTCAAAAAGTGTCCGGTGAACGATGCCTTTGCCGCGGCTTGACTCTGCGCTGATCCCGCCTCTCTGCTTTTGATCTCGGGTGAGCTGTTCCCACGGAGCCTGGGAGCGTAATGCACACGCATACACGCACGCCTCTGAAGTGGAACCCGGCCCATAGACCAGCCCCGGACCCAGCCCCGGACCCAGACCCGGACCCAGCCCTGGGCCCCTCTGCTGCACGCTCCCGAGTCTGATCCGTGAGTGTGTGAGTGATTGGGCAGTGACTCAACACAAGGCAAGTTTAATTGTATTGCACAGTTCATACGCTGATCAAAAGAGAAACATAAATATTAAAATCACACAAGGAATTAAAATCCGAGTGCATTAAAAAGAGTGAAGATAAAATCCTTCAGTTGTTGCCGCGAAACAGAACTGTTTTTAACCTGTATTTGAACCTCGCATTTTCAGGAAGACTGTTCCAGATTTTCAGTCCTGACTCTGGGCAGGAGGCCAGTGCTCCTCAGAGTCCCAGCAGGAGGCCAATCCCTGTGCTCCTCAGTCCCAGCAGGAGGCCAGTCCCTGTGCTCCTCAGTCCCAGCAGGAGGCCAGTCCCTGTGCTCCTCAGTCCCAGCAGGAGGCCAGTCCCTGTGCTCCTCAGTCCCAGCAGGAGACCAGTCCCTGTGCTCCTCAGTCCCAGCAGGAGGCCAGTCCCTGTGCTCCTCAGTCCCAGCAGGAGTTTCCCTTCTTTGACCAATACTTCAAAATACCATTATTTAAAGATTCAATGTCAGTTTCACCAGTTTTTTGAGGATTGTTTTAAACGAGGATTTATCCAGACACAATATTTTTCAATGTGTTTTCAAATCTGAATGGACCAGACCAGATGTCTGTGGCCTCAAACAATACATCACAAATATTTTGGAGCAGACCGATAGAACAAAACCAATGGGATGCGTTCGCCTCCGCTCCTCTCCCCCTTCCTAAGTGAGCGCACCTGAATTGTTATTGATTAGATTGTTCTAAAACACCTACAATGGCTGAACCGAAAACCCCCAAAATGCCAATTTCACGTTTGCCACCCACTCGCCCTGTTGTGGCAAAGAAGAGAAGAGCTCTGTAAAGCAGGCAGTTGAGTTTTGCTTATTGCTACTTTGTTAGGGGAAGCTAACCCTATTCAAGTATGGCAGGCAAATCGCAGACTTTGGAGCCCTAATTTAGAGTAACGCTTTCACATTTCAAGCTGGGACACTCCGTCACTGCGTTATTACAGAAACAGCGTTCATTTGGGCTGGGAGGTGGGTTTGGTGGAGGAAAGGGGGGAGGGAGAGTGGATTTGAGTCAGTCAGTGATACTTGAATGCTAATGCTAAAAGCTAACCTGAATCCTTTACTGCACCTTTAAAGCTCAACTCAATTCAATGTATTTGTGTATCGCCCTAAATCACAACAGCAGTTGTCTCTGAGGACTTTACAAAGTTGTTGATTCACCAACAACAGAAATATAATAATAACAAAAACATAGGAGCCATTGTTCCATAGAGAGCGGGGTGACCACAACCCAGAAATGTTTGTAAATGTGAATAAACGTTTCCTTAGACCCTCCTGTATCGGCAAAGAACTACTCAGAAACAAAGTAGGACAAAAGTGAGAAACCATACGGAGGGCCACATTGAGAGAGGGATACACTCCCACGGACAGAGAGGCTGTAGATCCAGGACTGAGGCTGTAGATCCAGGACTGAGGCTGTAGATCCAAGACTGAGGCTGTAGATCCAGGACTGAGGCTGTAGATCCAAGACTGAGGCTGTAGATCCAGGACTGAGGCTGTAGATCCAGGACTGAGGCTGTAGATCCAGGACTGAGGCTGTGCAATGCAGGACTAAGCAGGCTCCCAAGCAAAGGTGCAGCACACAAATCCGGGCCCGGGGACGACATCTAACTAGTTTTTTCATATAAATTGGTTCATATAAATAAATAAAATATTTTTTCTTTTTTTTATTTTCAACAGAAATACCATGGAAAAGTCAAATTCTCAGACCACAACAGCTGTCTTCATATTATTAGAAAGCATGTTCGGGTTTTTGCATTCATTATGTCCTCAGTCTATGGCCCTCTACCCGAGTATGTGCGACCCGTTCCCACAGTCTGAAACCCTATCGTCGTGTGAGAAGGACCAGAGCCTCTCGCACAGGAGCACTCGTCTTTTCTCACCTGCTAATCTCAGCTCTGCAGCGATGTGAACGCATGAATTCAAAAGTCCTTCACATTTCCCCAGCTGACAGCTCTGTGTGGAATATCAGCATACACGTGTCTTCAGCTTCAGCCCCACGTCCCCTGGTCCTCTGTGTCTTTAAACTGTGACATCACAACTTTGAAAAGAGCAGATTGTTTAACATTGTGTTGAACGGCAGCTGAGAAATCTCTCCTGGTTTCTGATCTTACTGTTGAACTAGTCTTTCTTTAACTCCTGGGATGAAGTTTTACATCTTCTTTGTCGGCATATATCAACTCTGGTCTCTCTCTGGTCTCTCACTCTGGTCTCTCTCTCTCTGGTGTCTCTCTTTGGTCTCTCTGGTATATATCTCTCTCTCCAACTCTTTGGCGTTCTCCCTGGTCCCTCTCTGGTCTCTCTATGGTCTCTCTATGGTCTCTCTCTGGACTTTCTTTCTGGTCTTCCACTCTCGGATTTCTCTCTGGTCCCTCTCTGGTCTCTCTCTGGTCCCTCTACTCTCTCCCTTGTCTCTCTCTCTGGTCTCTCTCTCTGTTCTTTCTCTCTCTCTGGTCTCTCTGGTTCCAGTTGTGATAAAATACAAAACTTGATGTTGACCAGTAGACAGGACTTTCAGAAAACATGTGGACATAGGGTTTGTCAAAATGTTCTTCATTATGATTTATCTTGTACACATTAATCTCACCCCTCCTCTCTGCTTTCCAACTGGCCTTACTCTTCTGGTGTGAGTGCTTTATTAGGGCCCGGGTCGTGGAGGACAAGCAGGGCCATCCTATGGCAGGAAGCATTGGCAGAGTGGCAGTCTGAGGGTAGTATGTCAGGGACCGAGGGTCGCGAGTCGGAAATCCTTTTAAACACTGCGTTTGTGAGTGTATTTGTCAGGATGGAGGTAGGGGAGGGGGAGAGGGCCGAGAGAATGGGTGAGAGGCAGAGGGCCGAGAGAATGGAAGGAAACTGGGCATTTTTCTGATAGAGAGCTACCATACAAAAATACACGTCCAGCAGAATGAGTCTCGTAAAAGAAAAATCCTGTGATTGAATCAGACCTTAGCACACTGTCTTCATCCTCTTCATCCACTGAAACACTTCAATCTGGAAAGACTCGAGACAAATATTGTAATAGAATTTTTATTGTGAAGATGCATGAATAGACACCAGCAGACTTAGATTGAGTACTAATATATATATTGCATATGAACATTAGACCCCGGCAGGAATACTGACGTATGCAGAAGGGAGTTTAATAGAAATGATGATGAGCTTGCGAACCCCCAGGGGCCCAGACCCTGGTGGCGAAGAAGCTGAAGACACGACATGATACTCACTGAAGAGGCGGTGATGGGGAGGAGGTGGGTTGCTGCTCGAACAGAAGCTTGAGCTGCAGAGAACTGATGCAGCCACGAAGAGCACAGGTGTGTTACTGAGCAGGTGAGGCTGATTTCTGTTGAGCTCAGGGGCAGGTGTGTAGAGAGGGAGGAGTTTGGTGTGGCAGCAACAACGAGCCCTATGAGCCACTATTTGACTCTTTGGGCTGATTGTGTGAGTGAGGGTGGTCCTCTCTTTTTCACTGTTCTGTCAGTGAAAGTTGATCTAAAGATGTGACAGATAAATGCGAAAACTAGTGATAGAAGCAAGTGTGGATTATACGGCATGGTTCAATTTCCTGCGGTTAAAAGTCAGGTTCCTCAACTTTAAGTTGAATTCAATATTAAACTATTATTAAAAATGCCAAAATACCTTTTCTTTCGTAGTTGGCTACATGACAGAAATCGTTAAAGGTTGTTTTTGAGTAATCCTTGAGGACGAGATCTTTCTAGATTCGAGGAGACATTAGCCCCGAATCGACTTGACTCCGTTGCGTTTCCATTACAGGGGTCGATCCTGGGACCTCTTCTGTTCAATCTCTACGTGCTGCCGTTAGGTCAGTTAATACGCAGAAACAAAGTGTCCTATCACAACTATGCAGACGACACTCAGATCTATGTCTCACTGACTGCAGGAGAACATGGACCAGTGGACTCACTCCTTCACTGTATCCAACAGATCAGTGAGTGGATGCAAAACAACTTCCTTCAGCTAAACACAGACAAAACTGAAATGATTGTCTTTGGTCCCCAGAAACAAAGAGAGAGCGTCATCTGTCACCTACAGTCTCTCTCCCTAAAACCTTCAAACAAGGTCAGAAATCTAGGGGTAATACTGGACTCAGACTTAAATTTTAATAGCCACATCAAATCAGTAACATTAGCAGCTTTTTACCATCTAAAAAACATTGCCAGGATCAAAAACATAGTGTCTAAAGCAGACCTGGAGATTCTTATCCATGCATTTGTCTCCAGTAGGTTAGACTACTGCAATGGCCTGCTCACAGGTCTGTCCAAACAGGCTGTAAAACAGCTGCAGTACATTCAAAATGCAGCAGCTCGAGTCCTGACTAGAACCAGGAAGTACGACCACATTAGTCCAGTTCTCAGGTCTCTGC